TCCCCTGCACTGGCAGGCGGATTCTCAACCAGTGCATCACCAGGGAAGCCCCGAGTTCATTTTTTTTAAGTGAGTCAGATATCAAGGTAAAGAAGAGGCAGAATTTGAAGTGAGTTTTTTCTTTTTTTTTAAAGAGACTATTCTTTTTAAGATTTTTTTTTTATGTGGACCATTTTTAAAGTCTTTATTGAATTTGTTACAATATTGCTTCTGTTTTATGTTTTGGTTTTTTGGCCGCAAGGCATGTGGGATCTTAGCTCCCTGACCAGGGATCAAACCGGTACCCCTGCATTGGAAGGCGAAGTCTTAACCACTGGACTGCCAGGGAATCCCTGAAGTGAGTTTTAATGTGATAAAGAAACTCTGTGAATGTTAGAGTTCATCATCCCTGCGGCCTCCTTTCAGACTCTCAAGGCTCTCCCTCCTTCCTCTCTAATTAAACTTACTTCTTTGGGGGCAGCAACATTTGATATAAAATTTAAATAATTTCAGGTTCAATTCTATTATTTTTCTCTTTGGTTTACTTATGTGGATAGAAACACTGTGTTCTATGTTATAGTTCCAAATGCATGGTATTGTAGCTTTGTTAGGTTTTGTGCGCTTGCCTGGGTGTAAAGCAACAATCAGAGCAATACAGTCACAGATTATTAACTTCAACTAATGAGCAGGATAAGTTCTGTGTCACAAGCCACCTTCAGCTTAGGGACACTCGGTCTACCAGACACTCCCCCATAACGTGCCAATTTTACTGGCAAGCCCTTAGTAGCAATAGATTCAGTGTTCTTACTACATCCCAAATCAGAGATTTTAATTAGCTTTTATCACGTTTTACCTTTTTTGATTTTCACCTAATTATCCCCAAATTTAAATCTGACTGAATTATTTAACAAGCAGACAACAAAGAAGCTATTCTCAAAAACAAAGAGCCCCACCCTTTCTGGTTCTTGGCCCCTGCTGGGTCAGATCCAGCCAAGATTTGAAAGCATTTGTGGAAAAGCCATGACTCAGTGTATGCTCACAGTATGGTTGTTTTCCTATTTCCCTCCCAAATGAAACTTAGACAAGACCACCATGTTGCCGAAGATGAAAAAAATCAACAAACTAATTTGAGGGGGAAAACGATACCATTTTCTAAAATCTCCTAAGCATTTCCTTTTCTGAAAACAGACATGGGAATCTTAATTGAAAATGATAAGCTAGTTAAACATTACTCATAAGAAGCACCATCCTGTGGTAAAAAAATGTGCATTTGGCTGAAAATAGAAAGATGTATGTCTTCACCTTAGCCATGCTTCAACTAGTTGGATGACTGGATAAAGTGTTTAATTTCTCAGCCCTGTGAGATGGGATGGATGATCTCACACTTCCCCCCAGTAATACAATCGGGAATAGATAGCCTCTTTTTCTGATAAGGGGTTAATACCCAAAATATATATAAAGGACTCATACAACTCAGTAGCCAAAAAAAACCCAAACAGACTAATTAAAAATGGGCAGAGGAACTGAATAGACATTTTGCAAAAGAAGACATACAAATGGACAGCGGGCATATGAAAAGATGCTCAACATCACTAATCATCAGGGAAATGCAAATCAAAACCACAATGAGACATCACCTCACACCAGTTAGAATGGCTGTTATCAAAACGACACGAAATAAGTGTTGGTGAGGGTGTGGAGAAAACGGAAACCTTGTACACTGTTGGTGGGAAAGTAAATTTGTGCAGGCACTATGGAAAATAGTATGGAGATTCCTAAAAAAATTAAAAATAGAACTACCATATGGTCCAGTAATCCCACTTCTGGGTATTTATCCAAAGGAAACAGAACTGCTGTCTGGAAAAGATATCTGCACCCCCATGTTCACCACAGCGTTATTTACAATAGCGAAGATATAGAAACAACCCAAGTGTCCATCAACATATTACTGGATGAAGAAGGTGTAGTGTGTGTGTGTGTGTGTGTGTATATATATATACACACTTATGTATACATATATATATGTGTATACAGAGATTGTATTGACAGTTGCCAGAGATGAGGGTGGGGAATGGGCGAAATGGGTGAAGAGGGTCAAAAGCTACCGACTTCCAGTTATAAGTTCCGGGGATGTAATGTACAGCATGGTGACCAAAGTTAACAATATTGTATATTTGAAAGTTGCTAGGAGACTAGATCTTAAAAGATCTCAAGAAAAACATTTTGTAACCATGTAAGGGGATAGATGTTAACTAGAATTACTGTGATGATTATTTCACAATATACACATATATCAAATCATTATGTTGTACACCTGAAACTAATACAATGCTATATGTCAAATATATCTTTTTTAAAAAATTGGAAAAAAACCAATAAAAGTCAAGCCTGAACTTCCTTGTAAATGTAATGAAGCCTTTCATGACACAGGGGAAGAAAAAGAGTGGTGGTGGCTGCGCTCTTATCCCTTTTATCACTATTTATTACTTGTACTACTATTTATTGCTTCTATAACTATTGCTTGTATCACTATTTATTACATATACTACTATTTATTACTTGTATCACTATTTATTGCTTGTAACACTTTATTGCTTGTATCACTCTTTACTACTTGTATCACTATTGCTTGTATCACTATTAGTTATACTACTATTTATGGCTTGTATCACTGTTTATTGCTTGTATCACTATTACTTGTATCACTATTGCTTGTATCACTATTTATTGCTTGTATCACTATTTATTACTTGTATCACTATTTATTGCTTGTACCGCTGTTACTTGCACCCAGCTGATGCTGAGGGATTCTGTTTTGCCAGGCACCGCAGTAAAGCAGGGCAGATTCCTGCTGAAACTGGCCCCCAGTCTGCTCCCTTCTCCCTCCATGAAGTCCCAGTTCTAGAAGGTGGTGCAGCGCTTCTCCCTAAACCCACGCTGATAGATTCTACCCCCTGAATGAGGTTCATCACTGCCCTTCTCCTACTGGTCCACAAAGTGGAAGTACGGGGCTTGGTGAGTGGAGCTCTTGGATTTCAGCTGCCACAAGTCCCTCGTGCAGTCAACAACCATACAGGCCACACCTGTGCCCTCAGAGCTCCCATCTAACTCGGGGCTTAAGACTTGTCTCCGTTGTAGCCCCCGCCGCCTAGCGGTTTCTTCTTTCTCTGAACCCCTATAGGTCAGGTTGTTTGCTTATGTGATGCTCTAAAACGCATTTTAAACTTGGGTTGTATGATTTTTAAGGCTTCCGTTCCTGAGGTTCTGATCCTCAGAAGCGCTGGCTGTCAGTTTAAAACATGAGAGCAAGTCGAGATATTTGCTTTCCTACATTAAGTCATTAAACACTCGTCAGAGGTATTGCCCCGGGTTTCAGGAGGAGGAAGCAGGCATGAGACACGCTGTGTCCCCACCCAGACCCTGTTATTAGTCGGGCCAGGTTTCAACCCCGGACACTGACCGTGAACAATTGAACGTCTCCTGGAGGCTCTATTCCTGTGAGCAATCTCATTTTAAAACCTCCTTATGAGTCAAGGATCACAGCCACGTCCCTCGTTTGAGGCTCAAACTGAAACCGTGGGTAATGAGTCAATCCATTGCACCTGCCCTCACTAATCAAGGTCTTTTAAGACTTCATGTCCTCCAAGCTGCAGGGAGCCTAAACAGTAAGCTGTTTGCCCGAGCTGTTTTCCGGCAGCTTGGAGGCTCAGCTGCCTCGAGCTTAGGCTGAGCCGGTTGAGACTGGATAGGAGCACTGACCACTCAACTGGGCCTGCCGAAGCACTGGAGACCTGGTGACCTTGGGGAGGCCTGGCGCCTAGTTACGCCTGCGCAGAAGGTCTATTACGCACCTTATCCTTTTCCCCC